AAGAAAGATAAAAAGATGAGTATTTTTTAAGGTTTTTATGATACTACGTTTTTAGGGCGCTTCGTGCCCATCTTATACTTCAATTTTTAACTGTGGCTCTATTTGTAAGCATCTTTGTATGATATAAAAACAAAAACAAAAGAAGTTCGCAGAATTAAAAATATATTTTTTCATCATATTTTTTATTTCAAAAAGCTTTGGAGACAACTTTATGAAATTCTGAGCATTTAGAAATCTTCCCTGGGATTGCGTGAGGTCACACACAAAATTTGAGTACAATCGGTTCAGCCGTATTATCGTTTATTGGATACAAACATACAAACGAACAAACAGACACCCAAGCAAAGTATATATAGATAGATGAAGAAATCTAGATGTTAAATTATGATATTTTTTCTAATCAATGAATAAATATTGTTACCATTTATTTCCACCATTGCTCTCTCAGCATCTTCATGGCAGACCGTAAAATCTGTCAGATGGGGTAGACGCAGAACACGCATGTACGGAGCCTGTACAGTGCAAAGTGTACTTACAATTGTCACCAAAATAAAGCAGTATAGAAAAATATTTTTTAGATTTTGTCAACTAACATAGAACACATTCAACACATAGTAAGTGGCAAAATTTTCATCGATTTTTGTTTGAGAGCTTTCATCCTTTGGATTACTATAGAGAATGCCTTTAATTTTAATGTATGTACATGGAAAAGCTTCTGTTTGGAATTAGGATTAAAAATTAGATTTCTGCTCTCTGCTGTAGACTGACCTGCATCGTTGGTGGAACAGGAAGTACTGGAGATCCTAACGCGTGGCAGAGCATCTTTTCAAACAATAACGATCAGTTCAATTGGCATCACATGTGTAAACCCAATGCTGCTAAAATCATTTGAGATTTAGAATAGATACTTTCTTTAGACACTTTTTATCTTAAAATTATATCAATCAGTAAAATTTTTCTGGGTTAACAGACAAAAGCAAGGTTGTTTATAAGGTTAGATACTCTGGTGTAGGTAAATGTCGTTTTTTTTTGCAATGGAGACTCTAAATTCTCATATATCGTAACTGCTATTTAACTAACAATCATCATATTTAACTAATATTGATTGTGCTAACAAATTTGTAGCTAAAAAATGCAATTCTAATTCAATTTTTTTTAAATTTCGTCTTTTTTTAGTAAGCCGCAAAATTTATTATTTTTTAAAATAAAAAGTCAGATCCTATAAATGTCGCCATTGCTATAAAGGTCGTCTTTATCTACATTGGAGCGCATCCATAGTATCTAACCTTATTATACAACATTGGACAAAGTGTTATGGTTTCCTGCTGGGCCCAGTCCAGGAGTTCTTCAGTATGTTTCCGAATTGCATCTGTTCCTCCACATTGTCTAAATATATGAACAATGATTCTCAACAGAAGATTAATAAATTTAAGTTACGCGGCATTTATTCTTATTTATTTTCAACCACAATATGCTCCCTAAATGATACTTATTAATTTTGGATTCAGGAGAGAATTTTTTTTAGTTGATAATTTGTCTATTCATTAAAAAATTATTTGGTAGATTTTAACTTATTTTATTTTGTAGAGTTTAATTTGATTAATTTGTGTAATTAACATCAGCTGACCTGTGAAAGTTAAGTGCTGCTGGCACGCTAAGGTAAGCAGTATGGTCTGCAGTTCCCTAATGAAATGTTTGGTTTTTTTTTTAAATAAAAAAATCGAAATATTTTTCTTAAGTAAATAACCTGCTGGATAAATTGTTGTTTGAAATCCTTCAAATAGTTATGACTAGTGATCAAAGGCTGAACTCCGTCTCTATGTTTAGGGTGAACCCAGAGGAAACCACAACCTCTAAAATAAGAACTTAATCATATGTTTAAGATTAGACTTAAACCATATGTTTAAGATTAGACTTAATCATATTTTAAGATTTGACTTAAATCATATGTTTAAGATTAGACTTAATCATATGTTTAAGATTAGACATAAATCATATGTTAAGATTAGACTTAATCATATGTTTAAAATTAGATTGAATCATATGTTTAAGACTCAAGTTTGAGTTCCTCAATGTTTTTATGTTTTGCCCAGATGTACATCGTTTTCAGGTCCAATTGAACAATTGAATGATTTTATTCTTTCAAACGGCTTTACATAGGTAAATTATTGCTTTTACAACAATGAGAGAAATGTTGTTTTCCTTGTTATGTTTAACACTTGTGACGTCATGCATAATTGGTCCATTTTTCTGTTGCCACCTATTGTACTTGATAATCTATTTGGTTATTCCTATATCTTCCTGTCAACACTCAGAAACTTACATTTTTTAATCGAAAATTTTAACTTAACAAAAATTTGAGTTGAGAATTGAGTCACTCTTTGCCAAAACATGTTCTAATTCCTGTATCTTTGAAACTGTATGGTATACACTTTAGATGTTTTGCATTTCTTAGATTAATTATAAATCAGGATTTTTAATGTCTAAGGTCTACGAACTTGAGTTGCATAATTATTAGAAATAAGAAAATTAGAGTTTGTTGCAAAGACTCAATTCCTTTCACTTGAAATACCCACCTCGGGGCAAAGCACCATTTGTGCAAGTTTCCGGTATAAAAATCAGCTCCAAGTTTTTCTGTAAGAAAAGGTAAATATCAAAATGATAAATAGTTCAAAAATTAATTTATAAAAAATGTTTGTTATCCCCATTCACCTTTATGAACGCTTTATAAAATACTTTCTATTTTTTAATGAGATCGATGTAAGGTTTTAGGAAATATTAAAGTTATCTTTTTAAAATTTGATCAAATTCTGTCAATGTGTTAAGAAATGTATGTGTGATAAAATTCTATCAAAGTGTTGGGTTTGTTGTATATGAGCTGTAGGAATTTTTCTGTTGAGTATCGTTAATCTTGATCTCAAAATCCAATGTGGGCACTATTAAAAATAAAGATCAATGCTTGATTTTAGCCATCCTTCCATGGTATGACTAGGGTTTCCACGAAATGGCTATATTTTTTGCGCAAAATTTGCGCTATTTTCGCGCAATTATTTTTTTTGCGAACTTTTGCGCATGAAACACAATGAGTTTTGCGCAATTTTTACTACGCAAATTGCGCAAAACCGGAAATATTTTTTTGCGAATTTTTTCGTATGAAACTAAAATAGTTTTAAGAAATTTTTTTGCGCGATTTGCGCAAAACCGAAAATATTACGCAAACCGTAACTTTTTGAGCAAATTGACGAAATTTGAAATTTTATGCACAGAATTAAACAACGGAAGATTTATTCAACTATTACATACAAAAAAATGGTTAACAAAAAAGTATGCTTAAACTACTCTCAATTGGTTACTTTATTTTAAAAAGTTTAAATTATTCAAATAGAAATTAAGAGACTGAGAAACTTGGCAATATTTAAATCCTATTAAATTAATTTCAAGTGACCCTAAATGCAAAGATGACAATTCACAACGGTACCCTTAAAAACATTGCCTGATCAAGTATGAATTTTATTCTTAAAGGAACTGAGTTTTTGTCACAAACTCTACTTTTCTAATCTTTATATCTTTGCTACCCAATGTCGTAGACCTTTTATATTTCAAACTAAGAATTCTGTTAGACCAAATAATCTAAGTTTGAAATATTAAGGGTTTACATCATCAGATTGTAAAGATATAGGGACTAGACAATTTTAGTTTGTGACAAAAACTTAGTTCCTTTCCGAAATCTTTTTAATCCCATATAAAATATGCAAGAAAGTAACCAATGCCTGAAGAATCAACTTTAAAGAAGTAGGCGTGGCCAAAGCTAAAACTGTCCAGACTTTTGGGTTGCCAGGTTTGAAAAGAAGGACAAGGCTAAATTGAGAATTCTTAACTTTTAGTCCTCTTTTACTTTTTGATGCTGGAATTTACAGTTTATTTCCCAAGTAATACTAATTTTAATACTAATTTGATGCATTTATTTTAATACTAATTTAATACCATAGATAAAGATAGATTGCGCATAAGACGACATTTTTCATCTTGAAAGATATAAATGTACAGAGATGTTTTAAAGATATTCCTATTATATAGATTAACTAGGTTGGTTGTGAACATTGACAGTTCTTATGTCATGAGTACTTACGGTGTACATGAGTTCTGTAGAGAGAAATTTAAGTTAGTATAGTCCTTCTCATGTCCTTCTTCAGTGAAATATTGTTGTTCAAATAGTTCCATTCCTGGAGTTTTTTTACACTTGTTCTATGAAATCCATTAAAACACCAAATCACCCCGCTTATCATTGAAGTACACTTTAACCCCTAGAAGTATGAGTTCGCGGACTGTACAATTCTTGGTGATTTTGCGTATACATAAGCTATCTGTGTTTATTTATTTATCTATGTTTAATACTAATATCACTTATATCACAAATTGAATGTAAAACAAATAAAAATTGAACTTTTAAGTTTTTTATTTATATTAAAGAACCTTTAGAGATATTTGTTGATTATATATCGAGCTAGTAATGTTTGCGCAAAACGCCAAAAAAAATTATAGTTTAATTTGCTGAATTTGCATATGATTGTAACAAAATTGCGGAATTGCGCAAAACTCGTGTTGCGAAAAAGCCGTAAAGGACAATTTTGCGCGAAATGACTTTTAAGAATGATTTCTCTAATCAGTAAAACAAGAAATAAGTAAATAAATAATAATGAATATTAATTAAACCTAGTTAATAACAGTGCTCCCAGGGAGGTGGGGTGATTTTATTAAAACTTTTGAAATAACATATTTTTTTCTTTGAAAATAGATGATTTTTTTCAGATCTTTTATGTATTTCTTAGATTTCCTAATCAGTCGTTGAACAGGGAAGAGAATAGCGGAGGGTGAACTAAATATAAATATACTTCAAACAAAACAGAAAAGAAAAGGAGAAGAGAAACAAAGAGAAATACAAAGAAAATAAAATGTATCTAAGGATAAAAGGATCATTCAAAAATTGTCTGAAAGTTTCCTGATATGATCGATGATCGCCAGACGAATTCCCACATTCCGTTTACAGATCTCAACAATATGATCAACAAGTTGATCCTCAGACCTAGATATATAGATATAAAGATAGATAGATAAAAAGATAGATAGATTATAAATATAGATAAATAGACATTCCGCTATAGATAAGAACAAAGGTGGAATGTCTTCATCAAAAAAATTGAATTTTTATTTATTAACGTTATGCTTCATTTATACGTAATCTTAAGAACATGGGGGGATTTCTTAACATCATTTAGAATATTTTCAACCAAATTTTTAAAATAAGATTTTACAAAAAAAATGTAAACTGAATCAATGCAATTCTGTTTAATCTTGATTGTTTCTGTCAAATGAAGTTTTTCCCTTAGGTTCACAGATTTAATAAACAACATACTACATTACCTAAATAGGTAACAATAGTGTAAGCTTATTTTCCCCTTAGGTTCACAATTTTAATAAACAACATACTACATTACCTTAATAGGTAACAATAGTGTAAGCTTATTTTCCCCTTAGGTTCACAATTTTAATAGGTAACAATAGTGTAAGCTTATTTTCCCCTTAGGTTCACAATTTTAATAAACAACATACTACATTACCTAAATAGGTAACAATAGTGTAAGCTTATTTTAATAAACAACATACTACATTACCTAAATAGGTAACAATAGTGTAAGCTTATTTTTTGGTAGTTTGTTCGATTTAATCAGCTAACTCTTAACTCTTAAGAGTTAGCTGATTAAATTATATATAAATATGTTAGCTACAGCGGATTAAATTATATATAAATATGTTAGCTATAGCTGGCCAAACAGCTAGACCAAACGGCTGACATTTTTTTTTGAGGGAACCCAATGCTACACTAGGGGTTGACATTTTTTTCAAATTCAAGATATTTGTTCCCAAGTAAATCCGGGCAGTTAGTGATCATTATTGAATTTACCTGATTGGAAAAATGATATCAAGAGAGAGAGTATCCGCCCCTGACTTTCTTACTGCACATTCAATAGCCTTGCAATAGTTGGATTTCAAAATAAAAACAAATTTTTTTGGAATCCGATGAAAAACACGCTTTGACGTGTTTTTGCTTGACCCTCCAAACGGGCAGCCGTGGTACATTTGAATTTCCGAGCCGGGTCAACCTTTCCTGTCCCAGTTTGTACTGTACCTAGCTCTATGGACAGGACTAGCCGGTGCAACAAGGTTGACGCGGTCAGACTTTAGGTTGAATTTACTTTTACTAAAGGGTCAGAGGTGCATGTCCATACAATTAAGATGGCTATGCCGGATCAGGTAGCAACGGTACCTTAGTTAGCTTTATATAATCAAGTATAAATAAGAAATTAAAGTTTATAGGTTTGTAAACGAATTATTCTTCCCACAAGAACATCTAAAGAAATTATCAGAAAGAAACACAATTTTAACTTTAGAAAAACAAAAATATTGTCTTAATTGATTATCAATAAAGGTTACTGGGGTGCCAATTGTGAATGGGAAATCGATGCTATTTTTCCATAAAGGCTCACTTAAAATTACGCCCCCAGATTGTAAAGATGCCGTAAAATATTTATGAAAAAATTAATTGTTAGAAACAAACATGTTATTAGAAATAATGGAATTGATTAAAGAACAACAATCAAAGATAAAGATGATAACACTGATGATAATGATACCTTAGTACAAGCAGAGTAGGTATGAGAGTTAAGTAGCAGAATATCTTCAGGCTCAAGGATCAGGTTCTTCACGATAGTATTTACTCCAACAGTAGCATTCGGAACATACACTACAAATAGTAGCATTCGGAACATACACCATATAAATGCATTGATTCTTTGCCACCAATTCAGATTTTCTAATCTCTATATCTTTGAAACTCAATGTCGTCGAGGTTATACATTTCGAAATATGAATTCTGTTAGATCTAATAAATTAAATTTGAAATATCATAGCTGTACAGTGTTCACTTTCAGATTACAAAGATAAAGGGAAGAGAATATTTTGCCAATAAAACCAGACCTCTTAAACAATTCGAAACAACTAAATTTTTACATTTTTTTCGAAATCTCCGATTGAAAAATTTGCAAGGTTTGAAAGTTTATTACTTTTTGCCACGAAAACACAGATATGCAATAAAAAATAGTTGTAAATTACAAAAACCAAAAAAAAAATATTGCCGAAATATGCAAAAAAAAACATCATTATAGCATACAATTTGCAAAGAAATAAACAGCAGAATCTACAAAATAGGATTTATACTAAAGCCATTTCAAAGATAAACTCAAGTGAGCAAATATTCTAATCAAGTAAGGAAAGTAAATAAAAGAGCATTTTTGGGAATGATGCATAAGGATGTCAACGTTTTCGTTTTTCAGAAAAACGACGACGAAAAATCAAAAACGAAACGATCGTGATTTAAAAACGATCGTTTTAAAAAAAAGTTCGATTTTTAAAAATGGTCGTTTTTATAAAATTCGTCGTTTCGTTAACGATCGTTAACGAAGAGAGGAAACCGACCTAAAGGGCATCTGTACTTTTCATTGAGTAGTTTTTAAGAAAATATCAAGGAGTTTTAACTCCCCCACAACTTTTAAACTTCATGTAAGACGACATTCAATAAAGTTGCATGCAATTTTTTTCCCCAAAAACGACCGTTTTGATAAAGTTCGTCGTTTCGTTAACGATCGTTAACGACAACCCTTCGTTAACGATCGTTAACGACGACCCTTCGTTAAAGATCGTTAACATAATTGTCAATAATTTTTTTTTTTCAAAAACGATCGTTTTTTTTAAAACAATCGTATAAAAAACGGTCGCAAATCGTTTTAATAAAAACGATCATTTTCAAAAACGATCGTTATTCGTTTTCTAAAAGTTCAAAACGAGTGGGTCGTTTTTAAAAACGATCCTTTTTGAATACGAAACAAAAAACGATCGTTTACCGATCTTTTAACGATCGTTTACAAAAACGATTAACAACCCTAGATGCATGGTATGCTTAGTAGATTTTAAATTTATTACCTATATTCTGTGGGTGTGCTCCCACAAACTGTGATTAAACTTCTATACTTTGATCATAAAGAAGTTCCATGTCTTGTCTGTTCAAACAATTAGAGATCTAACTAGGGCTGGGCACGTAATTAATTTTTTAATCCGTTCGTTTATCAGTGTACCGTGCCGACTTTTAGACAGCTAGAGCAAGCTGTAGAGTTTACATTTCACACTGACTATTAAAATATAGACGGGATAGTACAAGAGTATACATTATAAACAGACTACTGACGGGATAGTACAAGAGTATACATTTATATAAAGACAATTGACGGGACAGTACAAGAGTATACATTTATATACAGACAATTGACGGGACAGTACAAGAGTATACATTATATACAGACTACTGACGGGACAGTACAAGAGTATACATTATATACAGACTACTGATAGGACAGTACTAGAGTATACATTTTATACAGACTACTGACGGGACAGTACAAGAGTACACGTTATATACAGACTACTGACGAGACAGTTCAAGAGTATACATTTTATACAACTACTGACGAGACAGTACAAGAGTAAACATTATATGCAGACTACTGGCGGGATAGTACAAGAGTATACGTTATATACAGACTACTGACGGGATAGTACAAGAGTATATATTTTATACAGACTACTGATGACGGGACGGTACAAGAGTATACATTATATACTGACTACTGACGTGACAGTACAAGAGTATACATTTATATACAGACAATTGACGGGACAGTACAAGAGTATACATTATATACAGACTACTGACGGGACAGTACAAGAGTATACATTATATACAGACTACTGATAGGACAGTACTAGAGTATACATTTTATACAGACTACTGACGGGACAGTACAAGAGTACACGTTATATACAGACTACTGACGAGACAGTTCAAGAGTATACATTATATACAACTACTGACGAGACAGTCCAAGAGTAAACATTATATGCAGACTACTGACGGGATAGTACAAGAGTATACATTATATGCAGACTACTGACGGGATAGTACAAGAGTATACATTATATACTGACTACTGACGGGATAGTACAAGAGTATATATTATATACAGACTACTGAAGACGGGACAGTACAAGAGTATACATTATATACAGTTTACTTAAGCCAAGACGGTACAGTACATTCCAAATGAATCACCGAGATTAAAGTGTAGTGCTGAGGTGAATTTAGGTAAATTAACGTAGCAAACATTTTTCTTTTAGTTAGGTTATATTAGGCCCTAAATGATGTAAATCCTCTGTTTAAAAAAAATATTTGTGACGTTTGTCCTTTTTAGACTTCCGGTATATTCTTAATAAACACTAAAAAAATGTTTTCATCCATTTATACAATTTTCAGTCCATTGCAAAAATTGTGTTCATTTAAGGAACATTGCCCAGCAAAACCACAGAAAATCTTCAAAGTTTTTGTACAGCAAAATCATATTTAAATTAATTGCAAATCAACGGGATGAATATTGATTAATATAAACAAAGTAGCTTCTTTTTTTAAAGTAAGAATACGTTGAGTGACAACAACTGACAACTGAGACTGTTTTCTGGAAAAAGTGGCATAGGAATAATGTATTATCGCATGAATGTTTTACAAATGTAAAAGTATATTGTTTCTCGAATTTGTTCTTTTCCTGAACCAACGGTCTGGATTTGCTTCCATCAATCTGAGTAGTCGTTCTCTTTCCTAAAGTAGACTTGGAGTAAGTAAAAACCAATCCACTTGCGTTTTTCAAATCTTGAAGGCTCAAGTCTCCGAAGGCTGAAGATTTTCTAAGTTTTGCGAATAAGATTATATCAAAACATTTAAAATCTTTGGAACTATCTGTAGTGTTAAAATCGATTAGATTTATAAAATGAACACCTGGAAATACCATTCACATGTGAATCTACCTTGCATAAAGGTTTACGAACGGTCCTATAACTACCTTTGAGTATAGATTTAGAAACGGCCCCTTACCTATCTTGAATATAGGTTTTGGAAAGGTCCTATACCTACCTTGAGTACAGGTTTAGGAACGATCATATATCTACCTTGAGTCGGGTTCAGGAACGACTCCATACCTACCATGAGTAAAGCTTTAGGAACGGTCTCATATCTACCTTGAGTACAGGATATTGAACGGCCCTATATCTACCCTAGATACAGGTTCAGAAACAGTCCTATATCTACATTAAGTACAGGTTCGGGAACGGCCCCATATCTACCTTAAGTACATGTTTTGGAACGGTCCCATACCTACCTTGAGTACAGGTATAGGAACGGCCCCATACCTACCTTGAGTACAGGTATAGGAACGGCCTCATACCTACCTTGAGTACAGGTATAGGAATGGCCCCATAACTACCTTGAGTACAGGTATAGGAACGGCCCCATACCTACCTTGAGTACTGGTATAGGAACACCCTCATACCTACCTTGAGTACAGGTATAGGAACGGCCCCATAAGATCCATGATTTGTGAAAATAGTTCCCTCCTCTAGGCAAAACTGGGATCTCAGTACTGAACCCAGTTTAGGAAAATTTTCCTCTCCCATTTTTCTTAAAATAAAATTTTATTCTTTTCACTCAATCCTGTTTAAGAATTTGTATAATGTTTATTCATTGTAAAATACACCAAATACACATTAAAGATAGAGGTCTGTATTTTATTATTAGCAGGCCTTGAAAAGTTGGACTAAGGGAACCCCCCCCCCCCCCTCCTCCATCCATATCAGGATAGGGTTTACATTTTTGGTAATCAGATCAACACGATAAAAAAAGTTGGTTGTACACCCATGTCGGGCAAATAAAGTGATTTCGGTAAAGTCCTTAGATTTTTATATCAAAGATTTAAACAAATCATAAAATAATGATTTGCTCTCAGCTTTTCTTTTTATTTTAAAGATTGTCACACAAAGATGGGAATGCGAGATTCACAATGGTACCCTTAGAAGCTTTGTCTGATCAAGTATGATGTAGACTTATGATTATAGAAATTAATTATTTTCAATTGTTTTTTCTCAAAAAAAGTGACTTGCCACATTTCTTTACTCCAGAAAAACGTATTATTGGAATTATCAGAATTTCTCACTTTCAAACTAAGAACAACAACGGTATCTTCCACATTTTTAATCAGATAAAGGTTTCAAGAGTCGGTAAACTCTAGCATTGCCATCCATGGAGGGTCACTTGAAATTACGCTTACAGTCCCTTTACTATTTTGAAAGTTGTTTAAAGGATATTTAACGGTAAATAAGCTTAAAGACTGCCAAAAACAACAATGCGCTCAAATTTCATAAAAAGAGAAACAGCTAGAGAGCTTAATCTTTTGTGATGAACTTTAAAAATCTAGTTTTTTTGTAAATATAAAAAAAACTCTTAGTTAGCTTCACATATTCTCCTCAATATCAAAGATTGTCAAACCTCTAAAATTATGGTCTTAATCCAGTGTCCTAATTTAATGAATTTTAGCCGCGTCTCAAATTCGTCAAAATCCGGTTTCAATTGAGCGCCGGCTTAAATTCATTGAATACAATTATAAGTGGAACCAACCATACTTGAGTAGCCTCTCAAATTTAAGCCGCGGCTCAAATTCTTTAAATTCGGGCTCAGTGAAAGTAAACAGAAGACAATAGAAAGCAATAGAAAGGAACACATGTAGATTACATTTTTATTTTCACTAGAAATTCAAGGCGCTTAGCGCCCTTCTCTAGCCTTAGAGGGCGCTTCGCGCCCATCTCCTAAATTAATTGTGAACATGTTCTCTTTGTGTACATCGTAAAACAAAACAAAAATAATTCGCGGGTTTTCACAAAAAATTTCGCGGATTTTCAAAATTTTAAAAAATTTAATGACGATCGAATTTTGACGGAGACAAATATTTGAAATTTTGATGATTCATAAACCTTCCCTGGAGTCCCTAGATGTCCCACAAAAAATTTATTGAATACAAACAAACAAACAAACAAACAGACAAACAGACAGACAGACAAGCCAAATTTATATATAGATTGAATAAAATTTCCTACTTCAATATTGGAAGATTAAAATTCTTAATAGAAATTGAATTATTTCCTTTTTCTCGGCAAATAAAAATTGTAATTTATTCTAAATTCAAATTAGGAGGAGTCATGGAAAAAAATAGAATTGTAGCTAGAGTTACAACATTATTTTGAAAACAAAAACAAATTGAAATTTAGATGTTCAGTCGAAAACCCGTGTTTTTATAAATTTAAAATTAGACACTAATGTTATTATAGTTTCCCCTTTACACATATCAACATTCAATTGAAATATATCATCACATGTTTATTTTTTAAACAAACCACAGTTTTAAATGAAACTTAAAAATAGATAAGATATTCTTAGATAAAAAACAACAGGTTGAGGTTGCATTCAGAGCTCTTAAGCAAGAATCTATGAGATTTTTACCAATTACTTTATTGGTCCAACTTTGTTACCTCGTAGCTTCTTTAGTTTGATTTTACGCAAAAGTATGAGAAACCTAATTTATCCGTATTAAATATTCAAAACTTTTTCGTTCCTCTTAACATAACTCTTCAATAAATAAAGTTAAGTACACTTTACTTAAGTTTACCGTGTGCAGTTAAGTTCACATCAGGAATAAGTGTTTATCAACACTTCAAAAGGGAAATTTACTGTTTAAAACAGCGTAAATCTCTGTATTTTCAAAATGTCACATTCTCAACTTTGCTCAACATACAAAAAAAAATCTCTTAAAACACAATTGTATCATTAAAATTACAATTTAGAAAGACTTTTCTGTGAAGCTACCTAAATATTTTTGGACACAGTGTTTTTATCACATTCTTGTATAAAGGTTGAAATATAAAAAATAACTGCGGTGTAGAATATATAGGGCTGTGTAAAGATAATGTAGAAAGCCGATGAACCGGATTTTCTGGTTGCCAGGCAGATATGCAGGCAGTCATAGAACGTATAGTCGTAGACCGATTTAACATCTTTTAGCAATTTTAAAGATCGAATACGGAATTGAAAATATACCCATGAAAGCTTCCGGGAACCCAGCTTGGGCTGGCATTA